CTTATAGACAATTTCCTTCAGTCCAACAGCTGTATTATACCAGTAATGCCAATTCTGTCTGTTATTTAATTTCCTCTGTGACTGTTTGGAGTCTCATCCACATATTTATAGACAATTAGGTCGGACAAAGCTGTAATCATTCATTTCTCTTAGCAAAAAACTGGTGATGCTGTTTAGTGTAATGTATTAGTAACATTAGTAGTAGTGCAATATCTGCAGGATCTCCAATTCACAACTAAACCCCCACTGCTGACTAAATCAAGCATGCACCTTTGTTCAACTTGAAACAATGCACCCTCTCCACATTTTAAAATTTGCACCAGTGCATGTGATTATACAGCCTAATCATTTTACATCTTTACATATAGAACAAGTGAACCTACACATTGGGCCAATGCAGTTTTTGCATTTTTATTGTATTAAAACATGTTTTTATTAATATATTAAATATATGTATCATCATTATTCTAATTATCATTCTTTAATGTTGCACACTAGTCTGTTAGCAGCCTTAAGTGTAAGTAACCATGCATTTCACTGCACATAATAAATAACAAATAAAACCTTTGAAACTCTAATCTTGTTTGGAGCCATTATTATTTACCATATGAGTTTACCTTGCCTTGTAGATTATAGTACAATGGGATGCTAAGGGAACCATACCCTGTTAGTATACAAGACATCAACTGAAATCTCCTCTACAGGAGTTGATAAAATACATGTGTTGCCAGACATAAATAAAAATGCAACTTTAGAAAGCAGCAGTCAAATAACAAAAGGTTTTGACAAAGATTTACTTTTTTTGGTAAGATATTTCTGTGGCTGTTTTACCAACACTCACAATTAGTTAAAATTTTTCCAGCGGTTAGAAGCTGCTTTATTTACTTTGTGCATTATGTTGTGCAATAATGGTACATTTTAAATGCATATGAACATCAACAACAGTAAAGTTAGCGGTTATTTGTCCTGCAAACTGACTGTGAGTATACTTCCAGTATGCACACAACATACTCAAGGCCTGCTTAGAATTAGTGTGTAGTTCCGAGGAGGAGCTGTCACACACAGGTGTAATTACTGACATTACTGTAATAGTGGCTGCATTCCATTTAGTACAGACAGGTCCGGGGGCCATGTTCATGTTGGCTCAATGGTTTTACTTACTGACACATCTAAGTGGAACAAAGCAAATTATTAATGTTATTAGTAAAACCAGTGCTTGTCCTGTTCAGACCAGTTGATATGTGTGCTCCAATCGTCTGAGGCACAGACTCTATTTGATATTAATTCACATTTGGTTCAACACATAATTGGCACTTTTTATGCACCACATATCGGCTGTCAATAAAGAACTATTACTGCCTCTAGTTGAGATATTAAATTATGTAATTTGTGTTTTATTTTCTGCATCAGTTGGAAACAGTGTAAAGAAAACTGCAACACTGACTGGGAAGACTGGGAAGACTGGGACTGCTGCTGCTGTATGTGTGTGTGTGTGTGTGTGATATTAAGAGACATTTGATTGGAAGCTTTAGGATCTTAATCTCTTTGTCTGTTCGATAGCCTTTACAAAGCATGTGGGTGTGTTGGATTCTGTCAGGCCTTAAGACCAGTAGAAAGGTTACTGTTGAAATGCCAACAGCCATGGCAGCCTGTCTTTCTGTCTCATGTCTCTATGTGTCTGTAGAGCGTCTTGCTGTCTGTCTGTCTTTCTGTCGGTTTGTGTTTTGATGAAAACATTTGAAATAATTGTGTAAAATGATCGACATTATGGAAACCTTCAGTTTTCCATGCTGAATATGCCTATATCTGTAACCTATAATGCTGGGGTAAAGTGTGAATCATATTGTAGGAATATCCAGTAAGGAAAATTCAATGGTTGCAATAATAAACAGTTGGTTCAGGTTAGGGAACGATCGTGGTCATTGTTAAAAGAAACAGACACTGACTGTCTGTGGTCTCCTGTGTTAAAGTTTAATTTCATTAAAGTTTGTTGACCCATCCATCCACTCCGACAGTGGCCGCGAAATGTTCAAAAAGGACGTAAAAGGCCCCACTCTAAAGCAAGTGTTTGGTCCTTCCTAGGCTACTAGACACAAAATGGCTCTTTCTAATGCATTTTCAGGTGATAATACACTAATTAAAAGATTAATATTATATTCAATTTCTGACAATAGATATTCCCAAATGTTACACACTGGACCTTCAAAGAACATAGCACAGAAATAGGCTACATATAGCCTACATGTACAAAACAAACTTACAAAAAAAAACTACAAACTTATAGCACTTATCATCTTTAATGTATAAGAAAAATATGTGCTTTTACATAAAGAGATTTTTTCACTTTTATATCTCCTTATGATTCTCAAGATGTTTGACTTCAGGCTGATACTTGACGCCCCTGCATCCCCCTCTGGTGTGTCTGAGCGGCGGGTATCCTCTCTGCGTCCCTCTGCCTCCATCAGGACGCAGAGCTCCGCCTCGGATGCAGCTGCTGCTGTTTATCTGATTACCGCGATACAAGCTGCATCTCCTTAAAGCGACACTCCGGCTTAATTAATTAGACCACCGGAGAGAGGAGGAGAGAGCGGCCGACGATGCAGATGACGAGAGGGAGCAGCATCCGCCGGTCGCCACCATCTTCTCCCTGCAGGACGTCGCCGCTTCATTTCACCGCCTCGGGGTTATGAAACCGGCTGCAGTCTAACCCTGCATGCCCGCAGAAAAACCTCCCAAGACCTCCCTCCTCCCTCCTCGGCTCTTCATTCTGCGATTCATGGACTGTCAGTGCGTCACACTCGTTCTCTCTGCGCCTTTTCTTCCGCAGACGCGTCGCCACCTCCTTGCCTCGTATTTAGGTTATGAAATAGGCTGCAATAACGCGGCCTCCCGTTCCTCAGTCCCGCTGCGCACACGGACTCTGTAGCCCTCATGGCCTCTGTTAAATGCGTCCCTAAATCAGCCGTTTGCGCGTCCTTGTTCGCCTGTCCGGCCTTTTGCATCTCCGCGTTCCTGTTCGCCGCCCATGCGTCGCCGCTGCCTCTGCCGCTGCCGCGCCACCTCCTCAGCTCTTCCGCACCACATGGACTCTGAGATCTGCGTGAAGCGCGCGCCGTCTCCGCGTCCACGCCCTCCCTCTGCCGCGGATGCGGTGCGCCTGGGTACTCGCTGTCTCTTCGACCTGGCCCGTCAGTGATCCTCTGGTCCGGGGGGGCTGGTGTCCGCAGAGAGGCAGGATGGTGCGGATAGCCAGCGCGCTGGGGCTCGTCATGTTCAGCGTGGCGCTGCTCATCCTGTCGCTCATCAGCTACGTGTCCATCAAGAAGGACTTCCTGCTCAGCACCCCCAGATACGGACCTAATGGAGGACCCAGATTGTCCATGTTCCACGCAGGGTTTCGGTGAGTCCAGGCCAGGCTGTAGAGCTGTAGAGCTGTAGACGCGGTTCGCATCAGATCAGCTGTTTGGTTTTTAGTTTGAGCTATTTCAGGTGTGTACATGCCGACAGGGTAGAAAGACCAGTTGAATGTAACCTAGAATTCCTCCTTATGTGGCATTTATTGATTGTTTATGTTTTGACTGAGTCTTAAATCCTCATACATGAAACTGTTTTATAGTTTTGGAGTTGCACATTAACCTCTCAGTCTGTAATGGAGCAATCTAATCAGAAGAGTGCATCAACTTTACCTGCTGAAACAGCTTTTAAGCAGGTCAGGAAGGCGAAGGCCTCACTGCTGTCTGCGGCCTGTCAGCTCACACACTGTGCCGCTGTGCTTCTGTGCTTTCATGCAGTATTTGTCATTACCTATAGGTTGGATGATACACTGAATAGTGTTTTTGCTTCTGCTGTATTAAAATGTTCATTCACATTATTTACACACTATAGGGCCAAAATTCTGTGGACACTCCTGTCTACACACTTTGATGTGCTTTTGGGCCGGCTGTATTTCATGGTTTGAGCTAGGCCCAATTGAATAATGCTCACGTCTGTGTTTGACAACTGGGATTGAGAACGGGCTGTAAAGGGTGTAGGAGAAACTACGGTGCGAAAAAACACAAACTCCATATCTACAGCCAGTGTAGAAACATGGCAGTTCAACATAGTGGACTCCATAGAAGCCTACCCTCGGCGTGTGTGAGATAACAATATCAGCTCATTCTAAAATAACAAAAAAAGGTGATTATACACTAATGAAAACGCAACTATGAATATTATATTCCGTTTTCCTAAATGTTACACACTGCACCTTTTTTAACTTGTGGATTGTGACGGGATGCAAACTCCAGTGTCTTTAATAATGCTCTTGAGGCTGAATAGGAGCAAATTCCTGCAGCCAGGTGGAAAGTCTGAAAACTCACTGGCAGCCTTAATTTTAAAAAGCAAACAACTTTGCCTCAGATGCTCAGTCCAGCAATCAGACTTTTAAAGACCAAGACTAAGCTGAATTCTCACAGGGGTCACAGTGAGGAGGAAACACATGACTGCTAGCATTAGCTACAGTAGTTCAGTTCTCATGTAAACAAGCCTCTTACTGAATGTAGCCAACATATCAGCTAGCATGTGGAATAAAATGAAGAGGTTTCATTATGTTGTGAGATGATGGGCTCCTGGTTACATATGCTTAAACCCTCTGCTCAGCTGAGGTGGACAAAATATCAGAACAGCCAACTAAGCACTTATCTGACCTCCGTGTAGAAGGAAATCTAGGCTGTTTTTAGATGGAAGTTGCTGACAGACATAAATCTGTGCTGACAGTAAACTCTAAAACCTTTAAAAAAATATCACAGCTAACAGGTGATCATTTGTGAAAAACATTAAAGGAAAATGAAATTTTGGGAAATACACTTATTTGCTTTCTTTAGTTAGAACAGAAGTTTGATACTGATCAAGACTGGTACTGAAGTCACAACATGGTTAGCCTAGCTTAGCATAAAGACTGGAAGCAGAGGGCAACAGCTAGCCTGGCTTGGTCCAAATTTCAAACCTGCAACTGCCAACACCTCTAAAGCTCAACCTAATGCACACATGTTATTTATACATTTGAAATATTCAACTATGTGACGTAGAAACTGCTAGTTTCACTATGACTACTACTGTTACGGTGCTACTTCTAGTACTACTCTTACTATTACTGCTGCTACTATTTGTAAGCCTAAATGTACTGCTAGTAATCTGTCATTACTACTACTACTTTACCACTATGACTACTACTACTACTACTACTACTACTGCTAGAAGCTATACGTATATTTATATGTAGGCTAAAGTATTTAGCCTCAATTCAGACTTAGTCTTTATGGTTAAAACATCAGATAAGGTGAAGACAGATGATTAGTGACATCCTAGTCATTTACAGAGGGAGTTTCCTCCACCAGAAATGTACTTATGTAACAGTACTTACAGTAGTACTGTTACTGCCGCTGTCTCTTAAATATCTGATCTAAATGTCTCAGCAGTATCAGTTCAGGTTTGTATTTTCTAACAGACAGCAAGCGTGTTATTGATACATTTGACCATAAATATACAGACAATCTATCATGTCAGTGGTGGATGATACTTACTGGTTACAGCTTTGCCCTGATATACTGGTCTGAATGTAGCACATATTAGTGTGTTTTCTCAGTCAGTGTGAGTGTGTATCAGCCTGAAGGAAAACAGGGCATCTGTCACTTAATCCCACAGCTGTGAACTAGATCAGCTCATTAACACACAGCTCTTCTGTCTCTCCTTTAGAACATTTATTGACACATTTCTGTCTGGTTGGTTTATGCACATTGGGAAGTATTTATTTATAAATATTTAAGAAATGCAAATTGAAATTTGATAAAACTTCTTTAGCAATGAAACTTTTTTAATAGCTTTTTTTTTTTTTTTAACAGTAGCTCAAGTTGATTTTATGCTAATATAGTCAAGACTAAAACATGTTTCCGCCCCTTGTTTGCATTTGCTTTAACAGCAACTGTATTTGTACTAAAAGAAGACAACAGAGTGGTGAGTATGATATAGCAGGGTTGTTATACTTGCTCTGTGAAAATGTATAATATACTGAGTTTATCAAGACAACAGGTAACCATTGAGTAAGTCTTAAGTTAGCAACAGAAAATGCAATTAACAACATATTTAATCAAGAGCAGAGCAGAAATATGACAACATATATTCAATAACATTTGATTGCTTGTCCCAATATACGTTTACGTATTATTTATTAAAAATGCATGTTTCTCTCTGCAGCTAATATTCTACATATAGTGACAATTTATGGTATACAATGCACAAAGGACAAAACAGAAGTAGCTACTCCCGCTGTAAAACATTAGAATAAACTGAAGGTTTCTGAAGTAAGTATTAACACTAAAAAATGTATAAAGAAGCATAAAACTGTTTGCAACTCACCCAATTTAACGTGCAGTTAAAGTGGGAAGAGCTGCTTTTCCCCTACCCAGTATACACATTTCACTTTTTTTTTTATTTTTTTTTTATTAAAGCAATATTGTCACTCTTGCAGAAACTTTTTGTCCATCAGTTTGGAATGGCAGACTGCTCTAAAAACTAGAAAATCCACGAACCTCAGTCGCCATTGCTATGGAGAAGAAGTCAGCCAGAGGCACGAATCAGAGTGGGAGCATATTTAAAACATGCAGTTAGAGTTGGGACCGATCCAGTCCAATATTGGTATTGGGTGCCTGTACTGATGTAGTTCACATATATTGGAGTGATGTCACCAATCCACGTACCAATCAAATCCAGATTCCATAGTCTGATGGTTTTATGAATTATGTAATGAAATTCTAAGTATATAGCCAAAATGTTGCAGCAGAAATGAATTCTTTATTAACCGTTTAACAAAGACTTCCAGAAGTCCCCATATTTTTTTCTAAGAGTTAGATGTACAGATGGAACTTGTACTTGACCATGAATGTAACATGAAACAGCCTGCAACTGAGTGAGCTAACAGTTGGCTAACTCAACATGTCTTTAGAGATATTTTCCTAAATCAATATTCGGATCGGAACTAGTAAAAAGTGGATTGATGCAGTTGGGAACAAAACAATGTGATTGGATGTTTCTTGTCAAAATGTGCCTTGGGAATCCGAATTGTGGTTAACTTCTCGGTGAATTTTTATGTCCATGGGCTCTTTGGTACTGATGATTCAACCAGCAGAGTTTTATGCCGATCCGAGCTGCAGCAGTGCTCAATCTGTATGTCCCGTATCATTGTCTATGGGGAAAAATCAGTGGGCTACTTCCGGAATCAGCAGTGTCCAAAATACTTCACAACTCTATTTTAAAGCCATAGTTTGACATTTGACGTTACACATCTTATTTTATTTCCTAGCACAAAATGGTAAAGTACTTAGTTTGCTTGTGCACTGCAAGTATACTTGAAGTTAATGTGTCCTATACTTTAGCCACTACTGGCTGTGTGAATGACCACCTCTAGAACTAGTTTAGATAGTCACATCCTGTGTATGTGTGTGTGTCAGGTGTTTACACCTGGATTTAATGCATTTTTACTGCATCTGATTCCAGTCCAAACAGAATGTCTGACACCAGAGCTACTTTTTAACAGGTTTTAGTAAGGCCACTGCAGTACAGGTCCATGTGAAATCACTCTGTAAATCTCTTGTCCGACATGTTCGGTCAGGTCCGGAGTGTGATGCTAAAACAGCGTCGTTCTGATGAAGGTTCTGGAGGCCAGCGAACCGTCCTTGGCTGTGATTTACAGCGCAAGAGCCACATTCATTTTCCTCCCGCCTGTGATCATTTTCCTCTTTGCTCGCCGTCACCACCGGCCAAGGTTATGCTCAGAGTGAGTTAGATGTGAAGGAGAGCAGCATTTTGAAGAGAAAACACTCTGCTGGTGGACAGATCTAAATTTCTTGCTGTGTTGTTGTAGAGTTTATCACAAGGAACATGGTGCTTCATGGGAATCTTTGGTTTTGCTCTGCTCTGTATCCAGTAGTTGACGAGGGTGTTAGTCCATCTGATGGTCTATGATGTGCTCTGAAAAACCTTTCATATTACAATGAAAACAAGGCCTCCTGACCTTTCCTGTTGAAGCACCATTAGGCCCACTGGACTCTAATTGTTGGATTTTCATGAAATTTACCACACTGAAGCAGTGTTTATGCTTGATGGAGCTACCCCAGGTGTGTTTTCTGTAACTGGCCCTCCTAGAGCAGTACCTTCAGTCAAGATCCAGGAGAGAGGTTAATGCTGCCGGACAATGAAGAATTTTGTTTTATTTTAGGCACAATTATCATAGAGAAAAGAAATGTCCGGTGAGGTACAAAGAGTGACGACTTATGCAGGTTGGGTAGATCGTAGATCCTCAAACCCAGGAGTATATTTTTCTTTCTTTATCGCGTAACCTATTTAACTTGCGTATGTAGTTTAGAT